TATAAAGAATTACTTCTTGGAGCATCTTCATCAGCACAGCACTCCTGATGTTGTTTTGGGTACATTCTCCTTATTTTCTTTTAGAAAACAGAGACACCCAAAAAACCCCCCTCCCAAAATATGCTTACCCCCAAGTTTCCTTAATATCTAGAGGAAGGGGAAAGAGCAGGTGGAACACTGAGCACCATGGAGCCTGCCATGTCACTATTATAGATGCTATTACTCATCTGCATCAATGACTCTCCCAAAGTCTTTTGTTACATACAAACAAAGACTGCAAATGACACAGACACAAGGCAGAATAGCTTTTTGAGTGTGGTACAGACATCCAGGTCTCTCTTTGGATACTGTAGTTGCCTATGCTTTGCTTTTTTGATTTAGTCTTCTATCTTGAAGAATGTAACAATCTTTACTTGAAGTTGTTTGTCCTTAGAGTCAGGAACTGTTATCTCTCTAAAGGAAATCAAAATTGGGTCCTATGAATCTTTCATGGTGCTTTCACCCAGAGCAGCAGTTAATAGCTACATTATGGAGAATTACATTATCTCCTAAATTCACGTTATCCATAAATTCAAACTACATCTTCCCCACAGTTCACTTCCTATGTCATTCAGTATCTCCTGTTTTTACCCCAAACCTTAAATGCTGTAGCATTTAACTTTAAAATGGAAGATGTAGAAATTTTGGAGGGTTTTTTTAAGTAAGAATAAAGCATTATGTTTGTAAAAGGGACTACAAAACATGTAAATACATTCTTTTCTTCAAAAGTACTGTAATAAGTAAAAAACCCAAACCCAAAAACCAGTATAGTGGATACAAAAGAAATGTAGCGGGGATTAAGCCCTAAAAATACAATGCAACCTTATCTTTGACAGGTGCATTATATCTATTGCTAGCAGACTTACAGCTTTCTGTCTAGTTTCCATTTTAGCAACCTTTGTCATCTTGTCACACCTGTACATTTTGATTTGAACTGCAATATAGGGAAAGGAGTTTCTTCTCAAATCTGAGAGACATAACTCATGCATCAAGAAGTATTTTAAGAGCTGATAAGGCAGGTACAGCATTCCTGAAAACTTTGGGATATTATAGTAAAATAAAAGTCAAGAGCTACAATTTGCATTTGGTGCATATGCATACACGAAATGGTTTGCTGGCACCTACCAATCTTTACAGAGTAACTGCCTGCAGAAGGATAATCCAAGTTAGTGCCCTTTTCTATATGTATTTCTGATTTCTGAAATAAAACGTGCATTTCTAGATACAATTGTTCTCTATCTTCTTTTTCTTTAGTCACATTTCCATTGAGGAATCCTGAACAATTTGATCCTTTTGGAAATGGCCTCACAGCATCTGTGCTTTCTTGCACCTATCACATAGGCTGGAAGCTCAAATACCTGAAGCTGTTGCAACATACTCAAGGAATCAACTCCAGCTGACTAGCTCCCATAACTGTAGAGAGGAGACTGGGACTGTGTCTTGTGTTATATATTGTTGTTCTTACAATCAGATTTCTATCTAAACAGTTTTCACTTGACTTAAACTGTTCATGGGATGATTATTTTTTTAAGTTTCAAGGGATCTGGAAGATTTATTTATTTCTACTGCTTAGCATTATTGTCTAGAGTTAGAGGAAACGTGTTCAATCCATGTTTTAAATTTAGCAACGTTACACGTTCAGAGAAGTTATAACTTGGCTCAACTCTGTTTGCCTCCATAAATGGCTTCATTAGAATTGCAAGGAGAAGAAAAAGAGTTTTCTCCACCTTCAAATTTACACAGATGAGATGCTACAGTACAAGACAAACCAACTTGCAAACACGCAAATCTCTTCACCTATTTACAGGTAAAACCACTGGTTTCTTAAAAGATAACAGATTGCGATACAGAAATTAGCACACACAATTGATTCTTTATGTGTATCAAATAGGAGATGTGTCCACTGCTATCATTAGCATAACTGAATGTAATTTATGCATGTTCAAGTCATCTTTAAACTATGTAGACCAGGTTTTGTAGCTTTTTTAAATAAGGCAGTGCAAAGCTTCAGGTAGGCTGCAAAACTTGATGGAGCAGCAAGGCCAATACTTCAACATATAGAAAACCAGTGAGTTCCAGACTACTGTTAGAATGGGGTTGATATTTAATTTAGCTGGTTATAGCTGAGACCAAATTTTTAGTTGGATACTTTAAATCCCTATTCAGTAAAGAACTCATCGAAACATCAAAAGCAATAACCCTAAACTTTAATTGAAATATTAAACTGGTACTTAATTTTTCCTGAAATCATAGACAATAATTTTTTTTCACATTTTTAACAGGTTTCATCCATAGACTATTTCACTTGTCTGCATATCCCTTCTTCAAGGGAGACCAGAAGAACTCTAGGGTTTATCCTTTGTCCACATTGTTGCTTTTTATATATTTTTGGCTCCAAAATCAATTTTTCTTCCTTCTTTAGTGTCTTTCATAGGCGTGGGGGTTTTGTGGTTGTGGGTTTTTTCCCCCATTTCTAGTGAAATTTAACAAAGTGTGTCTTGGGTCCTGAACCACATCATGAAAAAAAGAGGAAACTTTACGACAGTGATGTACTTACGACAGTAACCTATCTATGACAGTATTGCTAACACAGAATATCTTCCCAAGTGTATGTTAGATAATGTCTAACATTAGATGTCAGATAATTTGCCCTAAGGAAATAACAAATACAAAAGCATGTAAGAGTCCTCTGAAATTACATTATACACAGAAGTTGAACAACTGCTGAAAAAAAGGCTGAAGAGATGGCAGAATATAAGATGACCAGTGTTACAGATGACATTAACATGAAAAAGAATATGAAAATCTTTCCCTCAACTAATTTCCCAACTTTTAGGAAGTAACTTACTGCAGTCTTAGTTCTCACAAAACAACAATTTTTGAGTGTTTGCTCATGCTTCTTCCTCCCTGGATGTATCAGCAAAATCTAGGAAATCACTAGCAGTCCTAGAATTGGAATAGATTTATTTTGCATTACTGGACAAACATAATAGCAAAGATTATCAGCTTATACAGAAATCAAAAAGCTTTCTTACCTACTAAATATTCCACTAGCAGAAAAAGCAATTTTGTTTGTGACTAAAGCACTACCCTGAAAATCAGACTTTGTTCCATCTCTAGTCTGCTCTGTGATCTAAAAGTAGGTTATTTCAATGACTTGTTTGTCTCAGTTTTCCCTCCTTTGGGAGATAACAAAAATCAAGTCTCCCTTGCAAATTTTTAGATTTAAAGGTGAAAAGTACCATGCAGGCATATTATTATAATAATTTGATTAACCAGGAATGGTCAAATGATTTTAAAAAGTCAATGAACATTCATAGTTACTATAATACATTCTTGTCAAACACAAGAGTAGCATTTACAAATAGCTTATATCAAAGGAATCCATAAAAGAAAGAATTAAAGGAAAGAACATGGAGTGGGTAGACTCTTTGTCACTGAAACTTAGAGGGCATAAAGTGACTAATAAATGCTTTTTCCAAATAGCAAATATCATAGACTACTATAATTACATTTTTACATTTATAACATTTATTTTAAAATAAGTATAATTTACAACTCCTGTGCAGTTTGCCTTAAAATTTTTATCAACCAGAAACTTGGAGAAGTTATTTTTTTCTAATGTAATTACAGATAAGATTCAAATAAAAGATTAAAATAAATCCTTTACCTGATAGAAAACGTATTTTAATAGTGAATTAAAACAGAAAAATTTGTCTCTTCCTACTGCCAGGAAATACATCAAGAAACAGTATCTTCTCTGAAGTTGTAAAACTTGCCTAAAAGTCAATGCAAAAGAGTAACTTACTAGAGAATAACAAAACTTCCTTCAAAGCTTAGTGGTGACTGAAATGGAATATATTTTTTTATTAATTTCCTTGCACACATCTTAGAACACCAGAGTAGCTGAATTGTTTATTTCAGAAGAACTCATACATGTAAGCATGATTTTAGAAAGTCCACATGCAACAGATTGTGATAAGAGTTTGTATATTTTAGTATCACTTACTTTCACCCAACTTCACACAAGAAAATCATTCAAATTACAAAAAAGCTTACTGGAATGTTGATTTTAGCAAGTTTTTTCTAAATTCCACTTTGTAAAACTAACAATCAATCTTTAAAAATTTTAACTCCAAATACTGATTTTTAAAAGGGATATTTGTGGAACTTAAACATTATTATTTTCATAAAACACAAAATGCTTAAGCATATTTAAAATACTCAATGCTTCTAACATATTATGGAGTTGATAAATTGTCATAAATTTAACACAGATTCCCTCTAATTAAAAAAAGTGGTTCTCAAAAGAAATCAACAATTCCCTAGTGCACTTATAAAGCAAAAAAGATCAAAAGCAGTAACTGGTATGTTTCCTTCCAGTGTTAATTAGTAATTAAAAATTTTAGCTTCATTAGTACCTACTCTGAAATAGTTTTTTGGTTTGGTTTTTTTTTTTTTTTTTTTGTGGGGAAGGGGATGTTACACAGACAAATCCTGCAACAAAAGTAATAAAAATTAACCATTTTTGAAACTGCTTGCCTTCACCACAGTTAAAAAAGGATATGAGACTCCGTTATTTTCTTTTAAATAAGCATCTTCCTTGAAGACCTCAGCTTTCATTTGGTCTTGAGTTGCATGTAGTTGCATGTATTGTGTAATTCTACTGGCCAAGTAACATCCTTTCTCTATGACAGTTCAGGTAAGTCTAATAATTTTAAGTAGAAATAAAAATATTAGAATTGGTTCTTTGGCATAGTACAAAAGTCGACAGCTCCTACTATTTGGATTGACTGCAAATCCTAAAGAAGTATTTCCTGTATTTGGAACGAGGGGGATGGGACGGGACTTGTCACCATTTCCCAAGTACATTGAATGAATGTCCCTTTATGGATTTCAAGTGTCTTTCATTTGTAATTTACTTGATGTCTTCAGTACTGATTCCATTTTCACTTGCATTATTACAGTTGAATATTTCCTGCATACAGGGTAATCATCAGTATAGCAGTAAACCCTGTTAGTAAACCCACATTCTGAATAAGGAAGAATGTGAGATCCATTTTTCTTCCTGTCACTTTCTCTTGCAGCATATCATTCATCTCTGGGAACTGAAAAAAAAAGGAATATTTTTAGGTAAGTATTGCCATCTCGTGGTAGCATGCATAACTAAAGGAATTAAGAACTGAACCATATTGCTACTTTGAACTAATATTGAAACTAACAGAGGGTGAAGGCAGTCACAGGAACAGGTCACCCTAATTACTCTGAAAAACCACTGCACCACGGATGGTAAAACAAAATGTTTTGTTCCTCCCTACTGTGATTTCACCTGGCTGTCTCTTGCAAATTTCCTCTGAAGACTGTATATTTTAGTGTTAGTTTAGAAATCTTCAGGCTCGGTGACTCAGAAGCTGTATCTTTCTTTGATCTTACAAGGCAAAACCAGCCATTGTAGGTAATGCAATTCTTGAAGAACAGACTAAGGTTATTGGGAAGTGGCCAAACCTTCCCAGAAATCATTCCAGAGCTCCGTAATCCTCTTGCACAAGAGGCAAGACAACAAACCAGATCAGCTTCATGCCATACAGCAAGGCTCATCTGTGCACACACCTCAGTGTATACATTCTCTCATGCCCACAGCCCTACCACACGGTGACCTTACTTGGCAGGGGTTGGACTATGCCAATACTGGAGGAAAAAAGAACAGCAAAAAGAAAAGAAGGAAGGAATGACATTCTAGTTAATCCTACCTGCTTCTGGACAAGCAAACCAGAAGAGTGTGAAAATCGTAACAGAAACCGGAAAGCCAGATCTCTGTACAGAGCACTTGAATACCCTATTTCAGACTTTTCAGGGGGAAGAAAAATTCAGATAGGTAACTGATACAATCCAATAACCTATAAAAAGAGAGAGAGATTGAGGGAGAGGGAGAGAGACAGAGAGACAGAGAAGCAGAGAGAACAGAACAACAGATATGAAGAAAAGAATGTTACCTACTTTGAATTTGAGACACTCTAAATTTATGCCATGAGTTTTACACATCATAGTTGAGTATACTACTATTCATTAGATGAGTGAAACTAAATGAGAACCATTAGCAATTAAGGTACTGCAAACTTGTAAAATAAACTATTCCTATTGCTCATTTAACATTATTACTTATTAAATCCTATATTATTACCGAAACTATAATAGCATTTAATGAAATAGTCACTATAACTATATGACAGTTCTTAAATGCATATAGAACCAAACTGGGGTCTCAAATCTTTTCAAATTCAAGCCTCACTCTTCCAGTTCTACACTCAAATGGATTCTTATGTGGCAGGTGTAAACACCTTTGCAGATACATCTGTTCTTGTAACACTGAATTAAACATAATAAAACTTAAAATTCTTGAAAGATTTCTCCCATTTTGAGGTAAAACATCATCATAAGAGTAAATTATGGAATATTGCTGCCTGCCTGTGAATCCAGATTTTATTTCCTGACATCAAAATTTGATCTGGATCTTAGCACAATTTCTTTGGCTTATAGCTTCTAGCACGCTTTAAAAAATAAATGATAGTCTGTTTTGAACAGAATTCAGCAAATATTTTAGTCTGAATCAAGAAACTGGAGCTGGCACTGTTTAATTTATAACCAGAATAGAATTTAAACTAGATTTTTCAACTAAACAACCCCAAAATTATCACTGTGGTTACACACCTTTCATTCAACTCAAAACTATTTAGTTACATTTTGTTTACCTTTTGGGTTGTGGGGTTTTTTTACTTTTCTTTCAAAATATGGTTTAAATAGACAAATGAACCTTTTAAAAATAATAAGGTAAAATACTTTGCAACTTTAAAATGCTGAAACAAAGTATTTATACACTTTTTACTCTTTGATGAAACCAACTCAAATTCATGAAAAGCTTGTCTCTCTCTAAAACTCCTTTTCAGCAATAATTTGATCACCCCTATTTGTGAAGTGAAAGGCTTTCATGTTTCATGCATAACTATTTGTGCACCTCCATTAAGGGTATAATTGACGATTTAACGTCTAATAATAAGTAGATGACACTTGCACGGAGGGACAAAATGCTAAATTCTACTGGAGACACTTAGTGCAGTCTTTGTTTTCTTGCAGAAAAAATAAATAACTGAAAATAAAATTATATCTCACCATATCTGCCAGAGAGATGTACAGGAACATTCCACCAGCTACGGCAAAGATGATGTTAGGAGCAAAGTTGTTGCCTACTAATATACCAAAAGCCATCCCAATGTAACAGGAACATGCAGACAGAAAGTTGAAAAACAGAGCCTGCCGAGTACTCATTCCTGCATTAAGCAGGATGACAAAATCCCCTAAAAGAAAAGGAACAAAACAATAACAACAAAAAATTTTAAAAAACCCACCACACCATCTTCACAAAATTATATTTGGATTATTTTCTGATTTCAAATGAAGTCTGAAGAAAAGACATGATTTGTATACAAATTATAACCCCCTGCTGGTTTTCTTCATTCAAGTAACTGATGAGGATTTCCCTTCAGTACTAAGGTAACTGAAATATTCTAAAGCAAGTAGGTGATGCACAATTGAGCTAAGAGCACAGAACTACCTATAATGCTTAAAAAAAAAAAAAAATACAACAGTGTGTGCAGCATATACGAACAGGGCAATTAATACCTCTCTAATATACATTCCCAGCTTCCACCCACTGGCACTTGGGAACTTCCTGTGCTAGATGTGTATTTTGGTGCTTGGGAAGTTTTTGATGAGTATTTTTTCCATTAGTTTGTCTAAACCTTCTTTCAATCTATGCCAACTATTGACCAGCAAAACCTCCTACAACAGCGATTTCAAGTAACCAACATGTTGAACGAAGCTCCTTACCCAGTTCATGAGGAAACTCTTCACACAAGATGGCTATGGAGGTACTAAGCCCTTGAAGCAGAGACAAAGTGAAAGAAGCACCAATAGCCAAACCATCTATGAAATTATGTACGGCATCACTCAGTGTTACCATCCAAGCAATGGTGCCAATCTTTGACAGTGGACGCCCTTTAAGACACTTGCATAAGCTGCCTTGGGTGGCTTCTTCCTGTAAAAATAACGCAATAACATAAAACACCGAATAAAGAAACCAACAAATCATGGTTTGGTCTTTAAATGAATGCCAAGTATAAAATAAAGCACTACTGCACATGGAGACCAAATTGCTTCTTGGTCTAAGAAGCAAAAGGCACAGGTAGCAGCAGGAAATGTTTTCTGTTTCAACAAGTTAACATGCAGGGCCCAATCACCCTTCTGACTACAAAGCTTTATCTGAATGCCCTTCAGCTGAGACAGAAAGCAGTTCAGACCATAGTAGTCTAAATGTCACTCTGGAGTCTCTGTCAGATTAAGAGAGTGCCAAGGCTTCTCACAGCCTCCTCAGCCATCTCTTTTAAGCATGTACAGTCAGAAGGATCTGATCACAGTGACTGAGAGCATCTGTATTTCCTACCTAAAACACATCTGGATCAGTTACATCCTGCCAGTTCATTACACTCTAGAGGCACTTTGCCGCCATAGTAACAGCCAGGTACACGTGAATATAAACACATATCCAGATACTCCATAAACTTTATTTCTAAGTTTGGGCAATGAGCGTCAAGTCTAGATATTCAAAGTAGTTTCTACAAAGTGCATGTTTAATAGAAACAGCAGTGAGTATTTCTGACTCTGCGAGTTGAGTTGAAGGCTCAGAGCATGAAAACATCAGGCTAATATAAAACTACAATGCACATAAACACCAATGATCTCAATAATTCCTCCCAGAAGTGGAAGTAATTTATACATGCAGTGCCATGAAATAATGAAAAACTTGGGGCAGCTGAAACTAACTGCCATTGTAGTTGGGAGCACAAACTAACCTCCCCTAAAAAATTCCTGATGATCCATTCTGATAAATTTCTGTACACCGATATACTGAAGTTACATAATATTTGCAAGTATTACAGTATTTCCCCCCTAAAAAAGGATGTGAATTTAAGAATTCAAGGCATTAACTAGTGCTTACTTACTGGAATACGTAAGCAGTAATATATACATCTGTGTGTCCATAGGCATTATTTATACACCTCTCCTCTTGCAGGAGAAGGGTGTAGAAGAACATCTCTTCCTCCTTATGAACAGGTCACAGATTACTCCAAGAAACTTTTCTTAGTTATTAAAAAGAACATTGCAAATTGGTTTACTTTTGCCATATCAAATGCAAATGCTACCAGGCAACTGAATTTCGAACTTCATGGAATATAATGATTAATAAATTCTTACAAAATCTTTAATGACAGAGGAGTAAGGTCTGTCTCATGATTTGCTCACCAGACTTATCTGACATACTACCTCCTTGCAGGTAGGAGCTGCCTCGGCACAAGACAAAAGTTCAGGTCAGGGATTTCTAAGTCAGATGCCTAACGCACTACTTGGAACTTGTAGCTAATAAAGCCTTGGCTTTATTAACTCAAACACACAAGTTTTAGATGTGTACTACAAGTTTGCCTTCAGTTTTTGGAGGTTTTCCTCTCAACATTTCATCTAACACACAAGCAATGCCAATCATATTTTTAGGATGATTAATTTGCACCTATACTAATTCTGTTTGAGATAGGATCACTTATGAGTAATAGACCTCTCAATCCACAAAAGCAACTTGAACTTCACTTTAAGAAAGAAATATTACTAAGCAAGGCACATAAAATACGTATATTAGGTAACTGGAAGTAAAAAGAAACATGAGTATGAGAAAATCCAAATCCAATTAGCAAAGCTCTTCCAGCTATTCATCCAGCTCCCTGAGCTGGAGTTCTGTTCCTCTATGTTTTTTTCTGTTCCCTGGTGATGATCCTGAAGAACCGATGGAGGCATTGTTTTGTAGATCTTCCTGATTTCTGCCAAAAGCGTATCTTTCTTGGGCATAATTCTAGCTTCACTAAGGAAAGGGAGTTTGAGACAATGCATGATTTTCATTTTGAATGATTCATTCATTTTTCTACTAAAAAAGAACATTGTTCTCTTGGAAACCACACACACACACACAATCCCAACAGCAAGTATTTTCTGATAAAGCAACAATATTAATCTCAGGAGACTGTATTTTGAAAAGGTATATTAGCAACTTCTATTACACATTAGAAAGGTAGTGGTGGGTTTTGTTCTGTAAAAACTTTCTATTATCAAAAAATTCTCACATCAAATGCCAAGCATCTCCATAAATTAAACAGTTTTATGAAGAATTTATTAGGATGAAAATTCCTAAAAGAGAAATGAAAACATTGATCAAATAATACAAATGTGCAAAAATGTCACTTGTACATGCTTGTTTATGTTTGTTCCCATCAAAGCACATTTGTTTTTATGTGGGAACCATGTGTGTGCCCACAGTCTTCTGAGGGTTGTAGGGGCATAACTGGCTGAGCCATACAACTAAGTAAAGGACCCATTTTCTGGCATCAGTTGCACAGCTGAGAATTCCAATGATGGTCCAGAGCCTTGCATACGTATGACAAACATAAAAATCTGATCTCAAGGGCTTTTTTGCTGAAATAAATACTTTACAAATATACATGCTGAACTTTCTATGCATGTATGAAGAAAAGGGATATTTAGTAAGAAGATGCTATTAAGAATCAGCTGTTGAACTGATGAAGAATGGAACTGACTCTAGAAATTTGCTGAGGTATGAGTTGTTTTATCTACGTACTATTTTTTTTTAAGTAATTGCAATTAATTTAGAAGAACAGTATTGATTTACTTCTAAAAATTTCTTGATGCAGTCTTTCAAAATGCAGAAACAATTGTAGTTTAAAAATTAGGAATCAGTTTCTGAGAGGCTTCTGTAATATATATAAGGCTATCTCCATTTACTATGTAGCTTTGAAGAATCATAATTCTTGCCTGTAATCTATTTTAGATAATGTCGTGACTTCTTCTGTAAATTATATAAAGTACAATGACATTGCTTGCCTGGGTGTACATTCTGAACTTTACTAGATTGTGTGTCCGATAAAAGTAGATGAACAACTAATATATATTCTTAATGTTTAAGATAAGGCAAACTACTGACAAATCTATCCTAGAAATATATAGGATTTCAAGCCAAAAACAAACAATGTCTGTCTCTGCTGGACTGTTCCCACTTTGTCATGGTAGTTCAGCAGACATCACAGAAGAGACACCAGCTAAAGAGCTCTATAATACTCAGCTGGACTATCAGGTCTGACTTTTATTCATTATTAGTGCAGTTCTGTATTATTTGTATCTCCACAGTTTATGGTAAACCAAAGACATCCTTGGTATTTTTGCTCTTCTGAACACAATTTTTTCTTTAAAAGTAATGGCCTCTCCTTTGTTCCCAAACTTAAATTATACAGAGACTCTCTTATTTTATCCTATGATATCTCATCAGATTGCAATTGCTATTTCTAATGCATCTCTGACTCCCTCAGACATGAACCAGACATGTCCTTTTGTGTCCTCTGGAAGTGTCTACAGGACCAAGAAGGAATCCTGACACTGCCTCCAGGGCATAAATAAAGGCCACCGCAAAGTTTTGTTATACAACTCTAATGTTGTGCACTCGAGGATACAGACATTTCAGCAATTTGTCTCTGAAACAACTTTTCTTCAAAGTTACTGTTGACAAGCCATATAATTTTAATGCATAGTAAATACAAATTTTGGGTAATCACAAAAGAGGTTTCCAAGGTAGCAATTACTGCTGCAAGTGAAATGCGAAAGTGACTAATTAAACATTTAGATTTACTCTGGCAGTCAGTCTGTTCTGGCATTAAAAGAAAGAATATGGCTGGATCCCCATGGCTGAAAACAGCTACCACACTTTGGCACAATTGGACAAACTGCCTCCTTAAAGCCTATGTGACTGTGGTGGGTTGACCTCGGCTGGACACCAGGTGCTCACCAAGCTGCTCTATCACTCCCCTCCTCAGCAGGACAGTGGAGGGGGGAGAAAATAAGATGGAAAAAAAATATAACGGTCAAGATAAAGGCAGTTTAATAAAGCAGAAGCAAAAGACCACGCATGGAAGCAAATTAAAACAAAAGATTTTATTCGTTATTTCCCATCAGCAGGCAATGTCTGGCCACTTCCCGGGAAGTAGGGCTTAAGTACGTGTAGCGGTTGCCCCAGGAGACAAATGTCACAAATAACGAATGCCTCCCATTTCCTCTCCCTTTCTCTTAGCTTTTATTGCTGAGCAGACATCATAGGGTATGGAATATCCTTTTGGTCAGTTTGGATCAGCTGTCCTGGCTGTGTCCCCTCCCAAGATCTTGCCTACCTCCAGCCTGCTGGTGAGGAGGGAAATGTTGGAGAGACAGCCTCGATGCTGTGCAAGCTCTGCTCAGCAGTAGCCAAAACACTGGTGTGTTATCAACACCCTGCTAGCTACCAATACAAAGCACAGCACTGTGAGAGCTGCTGTGGGGAAAATTAACTCCATCTCAGCCGGACCTGATACAATGATGATTTCTGGCTACACTGTATTTGCCCTCTCTAGTAAGCTTTAGATTACAAGGACACATTAAAACTCTATGAGGTATGTTTTGGCTTATGCCAAATGGTTCCTTCATAAATAACAAATGCCTGTAAAGTTGAATGCATACCTACCCTCATGGCACTACCCTAGCTGCCCCAAAACCCCTCAGCCACATTGGTCCTCCTGTGCCCCCTAATGACTCTGAAGGCTACCTGGCTCCTTTGAACTTCCCTGGAGGAGGAAAAGAGTAACAATGGCTTTTTTGTTGCTACCTCCAATATCAGCAGCGGGTTATCTGCCACTGGTATTTCCTTGCAGCCAGCCTTGCCTCCAGAGTGAATTTGACCCAGTTACTTTCAGGAGGTTTTAATACAACATATTCTCTTCCTGGCTTTGGAGAAATGGAAAGGAAGAAAGAATGGAAAGTATGAATTTTCTTAAAGAACAATAAGTAGAGGAGCAGAACCTTTGTGGAATTTTAAATTCTTTAAGTCAAGGCTGCATGGAAAAGGAGATGTATGAGTATTCCACAAAGGACCTTGGGGTGACCTACAATACTTTATGATCATGAGCACTGCATCTAAACTAATTGCTAGAAATAAATGCTATCTAGTTACATTTTATTATTATAATATATGGTATGATTTTGTTATGTTTATGTTATGTGTAATAATGGAATAGGTCCAGATAAAACTTCTGGTAAACAGGGCAGAAAAAATAACACCCATACCACTGGGGATGACTGTCTTCTCAGAGAGTGGAGGGTTCTTTTGTTTGTTTTATAAATCTACAAAATACAGTTTAGGGACACTCATAATACCAATTCCCTCTTGGTGCCCATGCAATTTTAATTATTAAGCATGTTTTTCCTACTTTTTAAAATGCCCAGTATCCAACACATTTCATGACATTTTTACAGCAAGGACAAGTACAATTTCAATAGTTTAAACTGTGTGCATTAAATGCCCTGTGAGCCTGCAGAGTCAATGTAGAACTCTCAAATTCTCTCCTGGCTGTTAGGGCCTGCCTCTGACTTCCTCTCCTGCTTGTCACTGTTCCCCAGAAACACCTTACTGGCTAAAGAATATGAGTGGTAAAACAGAAATCTCTACTATGAAAAAATCTGCCTTAGCCATCAGATAATTGTTTCTATGTGTTTTTATTTTTTTTTTAAATAAGGGACAGTACTGCCTCTTCCTGTACAGGGAAAAGAGTAAAGAACACCAACCAACTTTCTCTTCCTGCTTCCATTTTCTTCTCAGTCAAAAGGAAGTCTTATTTGTAGTATGAAAACAAACACAGAGAAATATAGAGAACAAATATGAAAGGGAATCATACTTAAACCAGGAGGAATGGCTTCTGTCTCAACATACAACCTCTGTAATTCCACAGTATCCAAATATACTGGACTAGCACAAGCAGTGCTCACAATATACTGCATGAAAGTTACTGTATTAGTTTTCCTCATTAATCATTGATTCAGAGGAATCAGATTCTCACACTTTTGGCTTTATGTAGTCAAGAAAACAATATGGATCAGGCAACGCTAAAACACACTATCACTCTTTAAGCAAAACAATATCAACAAAATTAACTGAATTATCTGATTAAATATATATCTCTGTCCTACCCATCCCGACACTGATATCAATTAGCTCTTTTTGTTAGCTACAAATTGAATGCATCATTCAGCTTTTGTAAGCTTGCCCCAAAACCCCACATTTTTTTCATAGGGCTCAAGCAAGTTATAAGCTGTAAGTTTACAAAAACTTGACAAAAGTAATAAAAAATTTGTATTAACTCTCCCCTCTGATATGCTTATGTAATTAGCAGAGAAAAAGTAAATAAATAGATCCAATTTTCATACCTGTGCTGAGACCACACTGATGCTGTCAAAACCAAGATTTCCATTGCTCTCTATGACGGCTAAATTTGCGTAACACGTTCCTCCATTGCTAGATGATAGTGGTTTGGGTGGGTTAGTCTTATCCTGAGAACGATTCTCTTCAGCATTTTCAGAGTCATTATGGCCAGTCTAGGTGACAAATAAATAAGTAGATAGCTAATTAAAACAAAAGCAAGCTAACAAACATAAGAAAAGAGTCCAAAAGAGAAAAGGGGTAGGGGTATCACATTCATGCTCCCTTGCTTTCAAGGCAAGTTTCAAGGAAATGTTTAAATGGGCAGCAGTAAACATTTAAAACATTTAAATGTTTCAATGAACTCCAAACATATCCAATTTCCTAACTTATCTCTTACTTTTAGCTATTCAGAATACATGTGGTGATTTTTCATTTTTATATTTTTATATAGAACCTCAGAAGCCATCAACATTTGCTAGTTATTCATGGCTGCTTGTCAAATAGAGCTCATTAGCCTTTGTCAACTGTGCCCAAAAATAAAGGGCAACAAATTGATTTTTTCTATTTTTTATTGGTGCAGTTATTACAAACAAGGGACAGTTGGTCTTCATAATGTTCAATATCAACAACAGTTTTGGAGGGAGGACCTTAAATGAGGGAAGAGTAGGAAGACAGGACAGTTTCCTTCGCAAGACATGAGCAGAGAGGACCAAAAATTTTGAGAGGCCCTTCTCTGAGACAAATTCAGCCTCACTCATCTGAGTACACACAGAACAAGTACTCTGACACACGGGTAGAAAGCAGAGCCCTGTGCAATATGGATAACTGCAGTGTCACTAAAGCAGGCCTGCATAGGGAAACACAGAGCTGAGGTTACTGAAGGCGAGATTCAGGCACTGTTAGCACAGTTACACTTTACAGATGACTGGGAAGGTATGTACATCACATTGGTTTCTCCTGCCCAAAGGGGAGCTCCAGGGGTAGACTCTATTCTCTCCAGCTCTTACATGTTTCCACTTTTTTTCTGATGCGTTTAGCCAGCACAGCAATGACTTGGCTGTTTGGAGCAACTAGAGCATATGCGAGTGACAGCAGACCACACTCACATCTGGATTCTACTCCCAGCTCTGCTTGTAACTCTCTCAAAAAAGTGAAATTGCTTCCTTTATCCATGTTGATTTTAAACAGATATATCAGAACACATGCTAAGGTGTAATCCCTTAGATAAAATGGAAAAAATCCCACCTTTTATTATACTATCAAGTATTTCTTAAAATATAACAGGTACTCTAAGGCAAAGCTCATTCAGTTATTAACACATTTCATTACCTGGTTATAGATCTTCAGTATCACTTTAAGAATCCTTTCCACAAAGAAGAGAATATAGAATCCACCAAATACAGCAACTGCTTTCTCAATATAGTTATCTACTTTGGGGTCAAACCCAAATGCCTAACAGTGAAGAAAAAAGCAATGCAAATTAGTCTGTAATCTTACCACATTTCCAGAAAAACAAACACGCACGTCGCACAGACAGATATTCCTCTAAAATACAGGCTGTCTCTCTACAGACCATGAGTTTCCATGAGGCTGAAATTATGAAAGATCTTGATCTTTTTAGATTTTTTTTAACTTGGATTAAATGTTAACATGTTTTAATTCAGCAGAACTTAACATCTGGAATGTAGTAAAGTGCAAGACAAGGAGGGTCTAACCTGTAGTCCATTAAAATTCACTAGGGTTTTATCCAATGCATTTCTCTTTCTGTCTAGAGGCAGGATAGCCCTTGGTCTTTCCATCAAGACATAGATCTTGATGGCTGTGCTCACCCAGCCAGAAAGATGGTAGCTAATGGCACTGAAGCCCACTCACAACTCTTTGGAGATTGCAACCCACACACAGAATCCCACTGCAGCATGCTTCTAAAATTAATACACTTTAGAACTAGCACACAAATCAAATAATGATTCCCCTTGCTTACCTCTGGAATGAGCTGGAAAATTGCATTAGAAAAGAGAGTACCAATGGCCAAGCCCACAAAGTAGGTTAAAACCTTGGGGAAATATGACTTCTTTAAGAGGGGAGTTAAAATCAATCCCAGAAGTGATGCCAAGTTAATGATAGTCACAGCCAGGAACCCAAATCCCCAAACTGTGGATAAACAAGCAGAAATACAAAATATTTTAGTGTAACACCCACTTCAGGCTGTTTGTGATTTTTCTAACATCTAAATTGGCATGGAATTGGCAAAAAGAGTGGTTCCCTGGTTGAAATTATACTTCACAATTATAAAAATCTTAAAATGCATAGATACTTCAGATGCATACCTGCAGAAAGGAAATATCCGGAAACACTGTCTGGGGCTACCATATTAAAAATGGAAATTGTGCTAGTATAAAATCTGGGATAGCCTATCTGATGCTAGTATAAATCAGGTCTCTCTACAGTCAGTGAAGATTAAAAATTAAGGCTTAGGCCAACGGTCAAAGTAGCTATAGCAGAAACATAAGACAAAACTTCGTACTAGTCCCAGGGTTAGATCCCTTTGTCATTTACTCCTAAGGAGCTCCAAAATAGAAAGTTTGCTGTCTCAGCTGTACTAGACCCAAAAATCCTTCCTGATAAAGGATGACTCCTTCAAATCATCCTGAGGTGGTAACTTTCTGTTCCTAACACTCCTCTTCCTCCTCTAATTCAAAATAGATTTGCTGGCTGAAAACACTGCCCATTGCTGCTTATCAAAGAGGAGAAGTGGCAGATAGCTGATTGTAGAGACAATTTTAATAGAAAAATGAAAGCATATAAAAAAGAGGTTCTATATTCAAAAAGATAGACATGTGATTTAGGTACACAATGGGGAAAACCTTTCCGAAGAAGTAGCAAATGCACCAGGGTTCACCATAACTCAGCTTCCTTGACCATAAGCATAGTCTCAGATTTTTAGAGTTCAGACACTAGGACTTGTACAAAGCCATACCATAATTATTCTGGAGTCTGAATTATTGGTTGGGAGTGTGGGAAATTAGAACAAGTTTCAAAAATCATAATCAAAAAAGCCAGTACTAATTACTTTTTACAACAAAAGACAAAGGATAAATTTATAAATTGTCTGTGTAGACAAAAATTATAGGAGAATGGAGCTTAAAACCAAGCACAAAAAAATAGGTTATTGCCAAATTATGAGAAAAGTTCTCATGGAACTATATGCTTCACTAACAAATGGTCTAACTTCCATGCCGGTATTCTTTGTTCAGAACAGCTATACATACTGGGACACTTAACTTGAAGTACATTATATGTTATAAATGATACAACTGTCACCATTTTGTGTGCTTAATGCAATGGGAGATGTCTCATAACATACTAAAAGACCTCTGCTCATAAGTAGGGACATATTCTAATTCACTGATATGTAGTATCCCCTTTTGTCAACAAAAAAAAAAAAAAAAAAGGAAAAGCCTTTCTTCTTCCTGATTTTTACAGAGATTAGGGGTGCCAGAAGATAGATGTGGTTTTACTTTTTCAATTCGGTCCCAGATCTGGACCGAAGATCTTGGGATCTTACATATATATATTCAAAGAACTTGGGATTTTACATATATATATTGTTTCTGACTTACTCACCCAAAGTGGAAGAATAAGGAAGAATTAAAATATGCTATCAAATAACCTCAGACAATGAAAGAATAAATTAAGCAGTATCCATCCTAGGCATGCCACAGATCCTGCAATGAGCCTCAGTAGTACAGGGACTAGTTTAAACTAACGAAATTTTTAAAGAAATAAAACAAAGATCTTTCTTATACATTCTCCAGGAAGGTGCTCCTGGGCCTTGTGGCCAGATTTTCTTTGACTTCAGAAAGAAAGACCTGAAGAGTAATTAGAAAGAAAAGTTAAAAAAAAAAAAAAAAGATTATCCCATAATTACACAATTATAGGAACT